TCCATCACGAGCCTCGTGAATCAGTTAAATCTGCTGTTCACGTGATCAGTTCAGTGTGAAGTAATTTCTTTAAGAGTTAGCAGCGGTTAGATCCACGAATTCAAATTAAAGTCAGCAACACAGATTCACATCGTTGATGTGGTGTGAATTCGAGCTTAGACAACAAATTTATTGCATTTAGAATGTTCAAAGATAGTCTCAACACAAGAGCTCTTGTGAGAAGCGACGTTTGGGTGCTTCGTAGAATACCGATACTTAGATGCGTTGAAATATACTTTCGGTGTACACGTTTATCCCGTGGCTTTGCAGGAATGTGGATTGTACCAGTACTTCAAGTTGATTAGAAAACTTTAGTCGAATAACATGTTCAGGAAAGTCCAAACTCAATTTCCATATTTAAGGTCTTACTCCTCCTCCACCCGTTCACAAACTCATGCTGGGACACAGACGACCTAAAGATAGTCATCTTCTGACCAGAACTTTGAGGTTTTAAATAAGGGCGTCTTCACGAAAAATATGGTGCACTTCGGATCCTTGGCCGGATAAGTGATGTGAAATAGACGTACGGAGAATTTACTCGTTCCCTCTCAGGGTCATTTAATAATGAACAGTGAGCGATGACATTACCTCAAAGAAACATGAAGTCGATAGGTTGCCATTCTCTCCATGACACTGGCTGTCTTTGCAAGTGAACCCAAGTGGACATTCGAATTCTCCAAATACCGGTGGACATCTGTAATTAACACCCATTCGAAAAATTACTCGAAGCATTTGTGTTTAGGTGCAAGGTTCAGCGAGTGTCCTGTGTCCTCATAAGGGGTAAACGCGAAATTTATTTTTCATCCTTCAATTCACTTTTTTTCAAATGACAAATTATTAGGTCCCTAAGAGAAAGAACCACTCTTGCTAGATCGCCCTTGAGCAGTTGACTCAATTTTTATACACTTCTGTTTCTGTACGGTCTGTTGTATTCTTCATAAACCTATCATTCAACTAGTCGCACTAGTTGATGTAATCCTGGAAAAATCCTGATGGCTAGGAAGAACTCCATGAGACAACAAATTCCTCAACCAGGAATGAAGTAGCCACAACATTTCCACGTTGGGTGTAAGATCCACGACGATAAAAGCAGAGAAAACTATGGCGAGCGACTCAGAAAGGAAACGGTTGAAAGAAATGCCACTGGAATCAAAATTAAGGTTGTGTCACTAGTGTTGGTGAAACAAATATAGAGTTATTACCATCTCTCTTCGCAGTATTGTGCCGACAGTTAATCAAGTTGGTGGATAGCAACGAAATGAAATGTGTATTAAACAGAAATTCCTACGAAATCCTCTTTTTGCCGATAATGTCTTCAACTTATCCTATGTCTCCAGTGAGGCAGAAACGATGCTAGAACAGTTGAACGAAGTTGAGAAAAGGGAACACATTTCTTCTTCTTTCCAATGAGAAACAAGTTTCTTTCTAGCAGTAACACAAATTCTTAGATTTCCGAAGGCGATGAAATGGTTGAGGGTAGTTTTGACCCCTGTTGATTTTTGAAGTATTTTTCGCACAGGAAGTTTTCGGAATGCTTGAAAAACAGGTAGGTAGGTGAGAGGAGTGGCGAGCATGGTGTATGAGGCAGTTTGGACCATGAGAGCAGATCATATTGGATCGCAATATATGAACAATCGTTCATATATAAAATGGCACTACCGAACGAGATTCTTTGTTCGAGCGCTGTTCTAATTCAGGAGGTTCGATTTGATGCGATTACGAAGACCCACATCGCGAGGATAATCGGCTATGGTGGATCTACTCAGGCGATCGATACTTTGAAGAAAGCGAAGACAAGGTAACGTCAGCCAGATAAACATTTTATGATAACTTGGTGTCAGCTCAATAATTTAGTAGAAATGCCAGGTCTTCATTAGTATGTCACAATGATTAGGCCAGGGCACGTGTAGAGCAATGGTAACAGGCGCCAAGCAATACATACGGGATCGATCCTCAGCGCCCATGCTCACCAAGCGCCTTCCTTCCCTCTGAGGTCGGCAAACTGATACCAGACTTGTCTAGAAAGATAGCAGCACTTGTTCAATACATAGGTAGCCCACCGTGGGTCATTGTAAAAGCCAGGTATGCATTCAATCGCCTCTAATTATGCTTAATGAAATCGAATACATTTCGCATTTTTAATGATTAGATCTACTGTTGCGTAGAGTAGTGGTAGAGATGCAGTTTAATAAAACGGCCCAAGCCCTACTTCGACTCCTGACAAGGCCAACCAAATCGCTCGACTTCCTGTGGAGAGGAATTTAGCACTAAACCAATCTAGGAAAAGTTTTTCCGTACTTATAAAGGGCAGTGTTGGAATCTGTGGTGAAGATACGATAACGATATAGAACGATCCTAGGATTCGAAGTAGCGCAATTCGACAGACATTAAGCGACATTCGTCAAGAAGAAGAGGGCTCAAGTAACAGATGAACCAAAGGATACCCAGGAACGTTTACACTTCATGGATAGGAGAAAACGAGTGTAGTGAAAAAAGTACAAGGATGCGCACAATTTGTGTTGTGGTGTCGTGGAAAAAAAATGATCAGATCTAGATTGTTTTCAATGAAAGTGTTTGGTTGTGAAAGTCTGGCAGTGAACATTCCTTTCTCTTGGAATTTTTTCTATGTCCTCATGAATAGGGGGTCGTTTCTTTAAAACGCAAAGCAAATTTACACAAATTCCAAGGCGACTTTGACGTCCTTACCTTCAACGGAAGAAATAGTGTGGTAAATGCGAAGTTTACACCTACATGCGAGTTGTATAGAGCATTAAGCACAAAAACGTTGATGGAGCTCCTATTCTCGCTTCATTGTCGTCAAGATGAAGAACTCAAAATCGATCGATCCAGTGGCTTCGCTTACTAACAGATGCCTAATATTATTAATTTTTTATATTATTTTACATGGTCCACCATCAAATTTACTGCGTGGATCCCAGCACTTCTTGCATTCGATCCGTTTTCCTCGCACTCATCGTCTACAATGGTCTTCCAACATTACGCGCATCGTTTCAGCTGCTGCTTGAGGATTTCGCCTCCTTTATGAATGTCGTAGAATGCTGGTCGAGTTGATTCTCTTGGAATGTTGGGGATAGCCCAACTATGGCGTTCTTCATTGCCTAACGTGGCGATTAGCATTCTGACAGATCTTGGATGAATCTTGGAAGCGAATCTGGAGAGAAGGCTTCCGTTTGAAAGTACTGTGTGGCTAAGAAAGAGAATTTGTACTGTGGAGACATCAACCTCACCACGGGGTTGGCACCTACAGATTGCATTCATGACAACTCGAGTCAGTGAATAATCACCGAAGATTGCTGATGACACAGTTGACACAGGAAACAACAAGAAACGGCTATTTTATCCTTATCATTCACTATCACTGATCTTTGCATGGAATTTGCACGAATTTCAACGGTAGCGAATAGCAAAACATGGCAAATATAAGAAATTATTCCTTGAAAATGTAAAGTACCTTTCAGTTGCAGCAGCTCTGAAGAGCAGGAGAGAAAGTGTAAGAAGTCGCATTACCTAAATGGACGGACACGCAGCTGAAGCGTACGACCACGGATTTGGCCTAGTTTACCGCACGCCGCTGTCCCGTACCGGCTCCGGACAGTCACTGCGTTCCTCTACAAGGGAAACTCACTGAAAATGAGCCATTGTGGCTGCCTAAGTCTTCTTGTGGATTCTCAGCTATTTCGTCATAACTTCGGTTTTCTGTGGATTTTGATAAGAGAAATTTATCGGTTTGTTATGATAGTGGAAGCGTTCCCTGTAGAAGAAATACACCTCTAGACATCGACAATGCTACAGTACACTTGTTGGCGTTAGGTCCTCTTCCTTATTCAGTTCACTTGATTGGTGGAAACATCGATAAAGATTGTACCTTCTCATTAATTTGCTCGGAAATTAATGTTACTCCTTTAATTTCATTTCTCGTGTATAGGATCCAGCAATAGTTTTTTTTTGGATGTTGTAGTATTATACAACATTGCAAGGCTCATTTTATGCATTTTTACTACGCATAATTAAATGATAATACAGTTTATGTCCCAGGATCTCCCTCATATGAGGGATCTCGAGCCAGTTAGTCGTGAGGCTACGTGGCTCATGCCCAGGAGGCGGATAAGGGGTTAATCGCGGACCAAAAGCGACATTTGCTTCCCTGAGACGCAGGTGGATCCAGGGGATGAACTCCCTGTTTCTGTTGCTCTGATTTCGCACATACCTTCTGTACTTGCTAAACGTATTCAGGCATTCGTGTGTGGGTGCGTTTTTGGTTATGCCGATTGTATTCTACGAGTCAATTCGGCCAAAAGCCTGCAATCAAGTTACTGGGAAGCATATGGGAGGCGGTTAGGAGTCGCCTACAACAAATATGCTCCATGTCCACTCTGGGAGACAACCTACCCGTTAGTATACCCAGCCCCCACGTTCAGAGCCCAGCGAGCCATACGTGGGTATCAAAATGCTAAACATAGTAGGAAAAAAGGGCTTTATTCCCCTAGCCCCAAAAGAGCCCCCAATTTCGCAGCGTTGGGTAAGACGAATACGGAGAGCCCGCTAAAATCTCAGGGCCAGTGGAAGCTGCCTCGATTTCAAAGAACTATGGTGACGATCTCTACTTACAATGCACGTACACTTGTATCCGAGTCCTCGATAGAAGACTTCCTCATGCAAGAAAGAAGGATGAAGTACGACGTCATCGGCCTGGCCGAGACGAGAAGACGCCAGCCTTTCAAAGCCAGTTGATTCAGTTGAGATAGAGGCAGTCTTGGAAGCCCTTGATAGTCAAAGAGTCCCTACTCAGTACATAAAGATTCTTCGTGAATGAGCTGTACTAAAATTTAACAACCAAGGTATCACCATTCTACAACGACATTATCATCGACGTCAAAAGAGGAGTTAGGGAAGGCGATACCATCTCGCCAAAATTATTTACCGCCACCCTCCAGAACGTCATGCGAACATTGGAGTGGGGTAACATGGGAGTGAAAATAGATGGTCGGCAGTTATACCATCTTCGTTTTGCTGATGACATCGTCCTTATAACACCAAACATTAGCGAAGAGGAACGTATGCTTGACGATTTTGATAAGGCCTGCGGAAGGATTGGTCTTCGACTAAATCTCACAAAAACGATGTTCATGAAGAAGAGATTGGTTTCGCATGCCCGTTCACGCTCAACGGGCTGAGGAAATGGAGACGTGTTCGGCATAACTTCAGCTTGTATTTGAATTGAATTTTTACGCGGAAAATGCAGGGATCGGGTAGAGTAGACAACGACGACATCATGGAAGAGTCAATGAAGCAACAGCTGTTTGTAAGGATACGGTCAATATCCGTATGAGTCGCTCCACTATTCGATTCGTATGTCCAGTGGGACTTTTCTGCGTTCCGAAAAATGAACTACCATGGAAAATATGCACTGTGGGGAAGCACCCGTTGACATTCCTTCATTCTCATTTCGCTCTAGCATTACAGATTCGCAGATACTCTATTCGTATTTCTCGTAAGATTATGGGGTCAAAAATAATAGACATATTCCCTATTCTTTTGTACGCACCACATACCCAGTGGTTTCCGTCGGATTCGCTTTTGTTGCTTCGCTCGAAAGCAAGAAGAGGAGAACAAAAGCTTTTAACGCTTGGAGAAAGCGTTAAAAATGAATGGTTTTCTCCTCACAAAGCAACAGAACAAGAATCAAGCTGCCGCTCTTTGTCATGGTGTTGCGCTTTTTATAAAGCACGAAGCGAAATTGCCGGTGAACAGCTTGTTAGTTTGGATGCATTGGCTAGAGATTGCCACCAACTCTAAGTATTCTGCGCCGGACCTGTTTGATGACCTACATGTTCACTTCGAAATTCAGCATTCATTGGAAGTCCCATATTTCAAAGAAAAAATGGGGTTTTTGCCTAAAAACAAGTTTGAGGGAGTGCCACGTGGCAACAACGTGGCCACATCTGATAATAATATGCTGGCAAGAGAAGTGTGTACCACTCAGCTTTCGATACCATGGAACTAAGTCAAATATTTTCTAAACTACTCTCTGTTCCTCCTGGCGGACAAACGCCGTCACAGGTTTGTTGTAATTGATCTGTTTCATTTTTCAGCTGCATAGGGCTAGCAATTCCCATAGCATATACTGGCTAACAGAAAACTGCTTGGTATTAATCTTTCGTCATCCAGAACACGGATTATTGTAGATCCGAGGAGCGCAATACGGCCTCCCGACACCGCCTGCATTCCGTCCACATGCTAGTCCTCCACAAGAGATGCCATACACGAGTGCATTCTCCATGCACATGCTCTCTTCCAACTATCCAGCACACATTAACTGGACTGCCCACTCATCAAACAAGGTGGAAATGATTGCAAGTTCAATTCGTTACTTTTGAGATACTTTTATACTTTTATGAGATGCTTTTGAGATGCATTTCAGACCTTGAATAACTTGGAGATCCAACTTCTACATCCTGAGATCCGCCAAATGCTGCTACCTCCGGGTTCATTCAACCCACACCAGGAAGCCATTAAGAACAAGAAGCGAAATCGGCACCACAATACGCGCAATGGTCATCGTCAAACCACCACTAGCACGATGTCGTCGGCGGCATCCACTGATGAGATAACAACGGCTAAAATCGTAAGTAGTTGCTCCAATGATAGCAAAAGCGATGCAGTGAGCAGTTCACAGATGGGTAATTCATGAGCATTGAGCACTTGGAAGAGGGAAAGCAGAGCGTAGTCTTCAAGCGTAGTATCTTTTAAACTGCTAAATCGCAAGTGAAAAAAGGCTAAAGCTCTCGGCGTTGATTAATCTCCTAGGGATGCGCCATGCATTCGGCTCCATTAAGCATCATTTGAAGGTGATTGAATGCATATCTGGCCTTTACAATGACTCGCGGTGGCCTACGATGTATCGAGGCAGTGCTGCCATCCTCCCAGACAGGTCTGGTGTACCAATTTTCCGACCTCGTAGGGATGGAAGGCTTGGTGGGGCATGGGCGCGGGGATCGATTCCACGTGTGTGTTGCAAGGCGCCTCGGACCACTGGGCCACACGCGAGCCGCAAAAGTTACAAGTAGCAGTGAGTAGTGCATGTTTGGAAGTCTACTCGTCATAATCTCATTAAATAACTATCATTGGCATGTATTCATAATTAGTGCGTATCTGTTGAAGGTCTCGTAATTGACTTATTTGTAATGTTGGAACAACGACTACATAATTGTTTCCAGTTGGTAGAAGACATCATAACTCAAATATAAGCAATCATATCAAGGAAAGTGAACCGCTATCACACATATGGACAACTTCTTAGTCTACACATTGTCAAATATTTCCGAACATTGAAAGTCTATAGGTATAGCAACTATCCCCGGAATACAACCACAACGTTGCTGAGATATTTGCAAAACTCTGGACCGCAGGTGTCTATGGTGGGGAACGAACGCACTATTGTCTTTAACAACAAAACGTTAAACATTGTGATTTCAACTACAGTCCTAGCTTAACTGGGTTCTATGCCGATTTGCGCTCCCCAGATCAACCCCGCTGACGGGTGATTGCTGTGACAAAAAGATCGATAGAAATAGCTGAGAGACAGGCGAAACGAAGGACCCGCATGGTGTGGTGGTGAACGCATTACTCCCCGGAAAGGACAATAGCGCGTTCGTTCCCCACCATAGACACCTGCGGTCCAGAGTTTTGCAAATATCTCAGCAACGTTGTGGTTGTATTTCGCTTAGTAACCTGCCATGAAAATTATAGAAGGCGGAAAACAAAACGCTAAACATTATCCCCGGCATAGTTACTATTTCTTTCTATTACTGCATGTTTCTGTAGTAAGGATCAGATCTACTGTTTCTCAAGTTGCCTGGCATATGTCGTAGTACGTAAATATTTTGATCCCATCCTAAAGAACTTCGTGTAGAGAATTCCCCTATCAAAATTCTCTATTTACCTAGCAGACATCCAATGGTCGATGGAGACGGCCTTTGCCACAACACCACTAGACAGCATCACGTAACCACCGGTCACACCACGGGGCATGCTGCTGAGTGCGTCTCATTGCTTGGGGAATGGATCCCGCGACCCGGGCCTTAACCTTCGCTTGGACGTAGCCACGCCCGGACGAGCACCGCCTCTTTTTTGGAAACTTGGGAGGTGCTTTTGGGAGTCTTACGTTCGACTTGATTGCCTTATTCTTACGCCAGTATTCTTTTCATCGTTATTCCTGTTGCATTGGTTTTTGCCTTTATGTATACAAAGATTTAATCCCAAATTTGAGTGTCGAAAGCTGTTGTCCTGTGTCAACTACGAAAAGTCCCGCGTGGCGTCCTATCACGTAGTCGAGCATTCTGTTTAAAGCTAGTGGCTATTCGGTGTTGATAACTAACTCTGAGGCCTATATTCCACTAGCAACTGCGTTAATAAGGTAGAATGAACGGAAATTGAAAAGTTGTCATATTGAAAAGAGGTATAACGCAGAAGTTAGAGGTGGCCTGCGATACACTCGCCGTCGTTGGTGCCAGCGGGTGTCCTAAGACCACAAATCCTTCTAGCCCTTCGGAATCGGAAAATTGATACCAGACCTGTGTGGGTATATAGAAACATTGACTTGTGCATTGCTAGAACAATGCGAGTCATAATATAGGCTATCTATGCATTCAACCACCTCTTACAATGTTTGATGATGTCCAATGCATGACCCATCCCTCCGGAATTGATCAAAACCGAACACTTTATTCTTCGTCTTAACCTTTATTTAAAATCATGGGTGGCGTTTTTGCAATCCTACTCAGCGTGAATTCGTATTTTATCGCGCTTGGCACTTGGTATGACGCTAGTCATGCTGTGGTTGCCCTGGGAAACAAACCGGCACGGCCCGATGACTTACTTCCACAGTGGTAAAGCCAGCAGTCAAGCTCCGATGTGGCTGCTAACCGTTGAAACAGTTACAACCATTCACTATGCGCTGAAATCATCCGCATTCAGAAAATTTATGGAAAAACATGATTATTCCTTAACTTTAGCGTTTAATTTGAAAAATCTGCAGTTGAATTGACCTGTGGCTGATTGATGTTTAATTTTTGAAACATTAGATGTCCGAGACAGGGCACTTATCAATAGAAACGTTCTGCTAGTGAAACTGAAGTGCTACTGAGACTGCTGGTTAGCTGCTTCAGAAAATAGTACTCGATTGCTACGTGTGTTTGTACGTGTCAACCTTGAAAATTTCTTGTGTGGCCAAAGTGCTACACATTTCTATTGCACAGCACCGGTGTGAAAGAAGTGTTGCCACGGAGAAATAAGCTTGTAGGTAAAAATGAACAGGTTGGTTGGTGAGTTCGTTTAGAGACCCGAAATATGCTTGCACTGAGGGTTGTCTTTTACTTTCCTTCTCTCATTTCTCTATGCAAACGTCTAAAACATGCGTTAGATGATCTGTGCTCAATTGGTGATTCGTCATCCACTTAATTTGTTCTCCTTCACATCGTGAACTTCCATGTTTTCTTCTGACTGACTTATAGGCCTTCAGGATTTCCATTCGTAGCCACCGCCCTCCTTTCCCTGTCACTCTTTTACTTGGAGTCTCAGCTTTGCAGGTAGTGTCGTGTACGAAAGCTCAAGGAGGTGGTACTATCGTTTCGTCGCGTGATGGAAAAGGTCAAATTCATATGCGCATCGAATATGACCGTAATGAGGTAAGAACAGTCGCTCATCGACTCTTCTATGAGGTACTGTTTCCTGGGAAACGAGCCATATTAAATATGCTAAAGCATTGACTTAAAAAGAGCTGTTGTTTCATTCCAAACACTGCAAAACTCAAAAAAGAAACGGTATACCAGGAATAACGAGTCCCACTTGCGTTGTATGGATGGATGTTCACGTCTAAGGCACCGAACTTCTCCTCTGTAGTGCTATCAATTGACTGCACATTAAATTAGGCATTACGGTGGTGTGCTGCAGCATAGCATACTTCCAAAAGTAGTTTTTGTTGATGTTCAGCAGTCATCTTCACTTCTCGATATTCAGATGCTCCGCTTCTCCCACTCACCCTACGCAGTACTGCCGCCGGCCTGTCTCAAGGACATCGTGATGGACACTCCGGAGATCCTGAGTCGCTTTCCACAGCGACACGGTATCGACCTCAGCCCGTCGTGTGAGATGTAGAAGTAACACTATACGGTTGTTCCGATCGAGATCTTCATTTTCGCGCAATTCGTAGAACTGCGTAGAAATTCGTTGCAATTGTGGATGCTAATTTGCTTGTCATTTACTTGTGATATGTTCATTTGGTGTTTTCTTTCGTTTTTTTTGGTGATTTTTGAGTGTAAATAAAAACAAGTGTGCTTTGCTATTCCATAGAATTAATTGAGACACTGAATCTCGGTCGGAGCCTGTAAAGACCAACTGAACTCAATCACAAAAAAGCGCCAAATACGAGCACCATTTTTCAAAAGCGACGGTGGCTCAAGCTCGATATGAGTAATCAGTGTTGTCCCCGATTATAACGCTAACACGACGTTATAAAACTTTTATTGGGGTTTCTTTGGCGCCTTCACCTGCCTCAAAATGGTGATCCGAGTCGGTTGTGAAGTGAATGTTAGGCTATGTGCTGGGTAATATAATTCTATAGAATTAATTATTGAGACATTGAATCTCGGGAATGCAATTACTAGGGAATACATTGCCACCATAGAAACAGGTCACAATGAATGACAGAAGGCCAACAGCCGTCGTGGAAAAAAGGGCACCAATGTGACCACGAGAAGCAACACCGGAAGGACGAACACATGGAGTCTCTCGGATGGCCCAGTGGAATAGAGAGTAGTATAGAGTAGCAGTTGGTCCTGTTTCTCTTCTGTCCGTCAACTGTTGATGGAATACCCGACTTTCTCAGGTCTGCCTCGCGGGACCTTTATTCGTGTAGTCATGCGAGACGCAGAACGTCAAATTTGGGTTTTAACAGTGAAAGAATACACATACAAGTTGTGTTTCTAGGTCTTTCATATCTTCTTCTGCTTCCAGACTTTCTAGTTCTCTGTCACGATGGATGCACACAGAATATGTCCGGGCTGAGTGCTAGGACTTGCTCTTTTTTCCGGCTCACGTGAAAACTTTCGGCCAGGCACTCGTTACACTTCGTAGGATCTTCTGCACACCAGAACTCACTAGCATATAACTTCGTAAATTGGTTTTTTGACAAATGACAATAAGCTCTCAATAGCTAGAATATGTTAGAAGTTAGGAATTTCACAGCGAGACTTTATTAGAGAGGCTTTGCTCGATCACCTGAAACATATATGTAGTTCTTATGAGGCTCTCTGTCGATTTCTAGGTGTTTGAAACTAAAATTCTCAAAAAAAAAACCAATTATAACTTGGCAGTTTTTGAAGTTTTCAACAGAAGCGCGGTAACCGCGATCAGAGACGATGCGTTGAAGTAGAGGTTTATATCCTGGTGGTATTAAGCCAGCTTTCTCAGTTGCTTCCGGGCTTGATGAACGAAGCTTGTGGAAGAAAATTGGGGAAAACACGTCGTCTGTGCTCCAGAAAGTGGAGCTCGATTCCAGTAGAATAGGAGAAGTTGTATCTTGCAAGCAAAGATCTATAGATTCTAATGTTTCTAATCCCAGTTAATGAAGTTCAGTCTTCCCAACGGTTTACCGCCTCATCGAGGCTGGGAGGTGTTTCTGGGTGCCGGGCTGATGTACAGCGGGAGATTCATACCCATAGTGTAAACGAATGCCAGAATCCACCACCGTCCTGGTATGAAGCCAGTTGACTGGTGGCAAATCTCCCTCTAATCCACAAGAGCGACTACTGCCCGTGGTGGCGACGATCTGGGGCAGGCTTTGGCCTGGCTGACCTCGGGACTTCAGGGAAATACAATGGCTAAACCAGCAAAACTACGAAAAATGGAAATTATGCTGAGGGCCGCACAACCAGTGAAGACGGGCCATCCAAGCATCCAAGTAAGTGAGAAATAGAATATGAGCTAATAAATGTCAGTCCAAACACACCAGCTGCCTTGCATTCAGCGCATGCCGGGCATCAACTCGCCGTTTAAGGGATTTGAAAAGGAATTAGAAAGATTATCGCAGGACGATTCACATCCGCATGTGGATCCACTGGGCCTAATTTACCGAGTTTCTTACATCGCCATTGTTTCACTTACCCTCCTTTCCAGAATCAAGTTTTCAGCGGAAAAAAATGCCTCCCAAAGTGGATTCCGCTCCTTATCACTCCGTGGAAGATCGGCTTACATTCCCACGATCTAGCCCATATCGAGGGTTGCGTATAGCGCAGTGGTCGGAGGCACCCTGCAACACACATAGGACTGGTCCCAGCTTCCAGGCTCACCAAGCCCTCTATCTCTTCGAGGTCGGCAAGTTGGTGCCCGAATTGTTTGGGAGGATAGCAGCAGTGGCTCGAAACATCGGTAGGCCATCATGAGTCACTGTAAAAGGCCGAATATGCATTCAGTCACCTTTAACAATGCTTAACGAAGTTGAATGCATGGCGCCTCAGAAATCGGTAGCGATTCCATTTTGCCGCGCGTGTAGTGTGTGGTCACGTCCAAGGTAGCGAGTACGACGACATAGTCGACTATAGGACAGAGACGACCTCTTTATGGTCCATTCTTGTTTATTCAGTGGAAAACCCTTAGAGTGAAGGTTTTGTTAATACTTTCCTGCAAAAATAAGTGGGTCTCCTGTTTTACCTGGTGGTCTGATTGTGGACTGAGCACGTTGTAATTGGTGTGGTCGATTAGACCATGAAGAATCGCCTCAATAGAAAATGCTTCCGCAGTCTATTCGCAAAGTACTATGGGGTTTTCCATGACTTGTCCTCGTGTTGCAGTCCTTCCCTGAAGTCTTTGATATCTCATTTTTTGCACGCCACTGTCATGGAGTTGGCGATCCACCAATGTGCATGAACTCTTCGTTTTTTATATCTGTTTGATGCTGGTAACAGCCCAAAGTATGGCCTAATAGGAGGGTCAAAATCAAATATAGGTTTCATTTCGCTTCCGTACCTTTCCACTTTACGTTCTTTGTTCATCAGCATGAGAAATGAGAGGATTGGAATTTATTTCTTCGTGCACTTAGGCTTTTAACGTCTGGAACGAACAAAAAGTGAAGGTCCAGCTAAGATTGCTGTGTAAGCCTTCTGACAAAAGGATCACCCTACATCATGAAATAAACGTTGTAGTCTCGACTTTTTGCTGCGTAGCTCCGTAAGCTTCCTTCCGCTTTGTTTGCCATCGAAATCACTTGTTATCTCGAGGTTCATTCGATATCTAAGTGCTCTTTGGATGTACATGGAGCTTCTTTTCGTATTTTCTTTCTGTGCTTTTTCTAATGGACAAATCACTTTCCAGGCCGATATGGTGAACGGGATTAAGAGGAGGTTAAAGACTCAAAAACGAAAGGTAGAGGCTTGCTATGACGATGAAGCTACTGACGTGCCTTGGCAACGACGGAAATTAGGAGATGTTAGTGAAAACCTTATCGTAAGCCAAGAGAGCCATAGAACGAACGATTCGTACGTAACGGAAGAAGGTTAGTCGATTTGCCTTTCCATTAAAATGTTTCTGTTCCAGGTTGGATTTTGTGCTGTACTTATTTACTTGGCACACTTATTTTCTTATTTTTATTTTTATTTTTATACGACTCGTCTTCATGTTTACTGTGCGGATCCCAGCACTTCTTACATTCGATTCTTTTCCTCACGTCCATCATCGATGAAGATCCTTAAGCTTTTACGTGTGTCTTCAGCTATTGGTTGAGGATTTTCATTTCGTGTTAAATGTTGTAGACTATTGGTCAAGTCGATTCTCCCTGGAGTACTGAAATAGCCGGGCTGGAACGTTCTCAACTGGATTGCAGAGAATGGTTTTTTCCCAAAGGTTTCTAATACATTGTTTTTTAAACCCTAACTAGCATTTCGGCGGATTTTGCCCCCATGAGAGCGAGCCTGAAAGGGGTCAAATTGGTGCACAATCCAGTGAGCCAAATACTTTCATAGGAAAGAACAACTTATTGGTGAGCAACCAGGTTAATGGATATTCTGTCTTGGCAGTTTATGGTTCTTCGTACTTTTTGCCGCAATATAAAATTAGCTAGGGGCGCGGGTGGCTCAATGGTCGGAAGCGCCGATCTCAGTGATTTATCAATGCCGAGAGCTTCATCCTTTATCCTTGAAATAAAATTAGAGTGTACGACAGTAATGCGTTGACGGAATGCATCATACTGTTTGGTAATCTTCTCTTTTCAATTTCTTGAAATTCAGAAGTAGTAATAAATTCGGAATCGTTGTTACAGATCGGATGGTTCTACCCACTCGTGAATTCTTAGCCTATGAACTCATTGTTGCACTTCGTGCTAAGCAATTCGTTATTGTAGAGGTTTGTTGAAAAAATGTCGCTACCAATTGGCAAAATATGTGGTCCGTCCACTAGTTTTATGGTCGTCAGGGTCCGATTGGTTGTGGGAAGACTTTTATTGCCTCGTATGCAAGTAAACATCTCAGTTTACCGTTGAGAGTCATGCAAATGGGCGATCAGATTGACTCGAAGGTAAGATCGTCCTTTGATAGAAGATGTGACTAATGTTAGGTCTCATTCTCCCAATATTTCTTCTGCAGAGTTTGTTTGGCATGTACCACTGCACAGAAGTCGCTGGAGAATTTTTGTGGAAACCGTCCAGCTTTAGTCAGGTTTGTTGCAGTTTTCTTCGAAGTGATTTTTGACTTTCCTTTTCAAATCAAATGCTTTCAGTGGCTTAGCGAAGCTTGTTTGATACTACTAGAAGATATCGACCTATCCAATGTTGATGTCATCTCCACTGTTGTGCAGCTGGCATCCATCAGATCAGGAATGCTTCCTTCTGGTGAGATTCTTACTATCCATGAGGACGTTCGTATTGTGTCGACAGTAAGGTCAGTCGTTTTTAGTTTATTTTAGGTACACATTGCCCTGCTCACTGTCGCTTCATTTCATTGAATTGTTTGCTACTGTGGTTTTCCTCGTTCATCTTTTTCCTTAGATGTTGCAAGTGTTGTGGTGGTTTTCAGCGGCAGAGGAAGGAATAACAGTGTGCTGGATGGTGTTCCGGTGCGAATAACCCTGAAACAATTAACAGATGAAGAATTACGACGACTTGTTACTACAGTCAGTTGCGATGTCACTTTTTATATGATTATGACTCTGATAGGTAGAAAACTAGATGAGAGAAAAGCGAAAGGACGCGCATGGTGTGGTGGTGAACGCGCTAGTTCCTGGAAAAGGTAATAGCGTGTTCGATGTCCACCGCAGACTTCTGCTGTCCGAAATTTCACAAATATCTCAGCATCATTATAGTTGCTTTCGCATAATACCTTTCCATGCCTTTTTTAGTTCAACAATGAGTTCAGGTATACCCACGCATAGCTCATCTCGCAAAGACCCTCATCTCTATTTTCCGGTTAATAGAAGCCTTTCCTCCAACATCTGACTCACGACTTCTAACGTCTACGTGGGTTCTATACTTTGAAATTACTGTTACCGTCAATTCACTTCATTACATTGATAGTTTATTACTTTTGGACAATTGGTTGTTTCTGTTTCCCTCTGCATCAATATGTATCTGTGGTGTTTATTTATCTATTTATTTGTACAAAGACAAAACTTTTCCAAAGGGGGAGAGGGCATTTCGTCTTATGAGAGACTCTCAGAATACTCCCGGATAAAATCGCATATAATTTTCTCTTTGTTGTTTTCGCAACATTTTATTGGATTTATTTTTAGGAACAACAAAAATGGACCTTTGTATAATGTTAAATGTCTTGCTCAGCGCAGTTTTGTAATCAGACAGTTTTTACTTCCATAGTATGAATTTCTTTTGTGAAAATGACGTTCCTCGTTTCCAGTGATTTACTACGAGCTTGTTCTCGAGTTAACGAGCTTCCAGACATTTCATCAAATATGTCCATATTTGCTGAATTGGTCGACACGTGGTGCCTTGCCAGCCCTTACGAAAGAGCATTTGCATTGTGTCTTAAGGTATGAGGTGTAAACGTTTGATGTATAGTTAAGAGTCGACACTATAAAGTTTTGATCAATGTCTTTGTTCCGTAATTTTTTAAACATGTTTTTATGTGTCGTGTGTAGGTCGCAGCGCCCTTGTCAATCACAGCTGATCAAGTGTCTTTCCATCTATCGTTACGTCAGCCAACATTTTCCCATGATGATGAGTCTTACACTATTGGACGATGTCGCATGTCAAGATCGTTGTCCCTTAAGAATATCCACATGCACCGTCTAGGTCATACTCGGTACTTATACTTAATGTTTGGATTCTAAGTATTTCGAATTTTTCTTATTGTGGACTTGTCAGTGACGTTCTGCAACTCATGGAACGTCTTGCCGTGTGCGTTCGGAATCGCGAACCAGTCCTTTTGGTTGGTGAAACCGGGGTCGGAAAAACTTCTGTTGCTCAGTCGCTTGCATCTACTCTCAATGTTACGTTGAAGGTAGTAAATCTGAGCCCTTCTTCTGATCCAGATGAACTCATTGGCGGGTATGTTTGTTGTTGATACTCCTTTTTAACCACAATCCATCTATCAGTGACCATATCCTTAATATTTAGATACAAGCCGGCTACTATTTCTCAAATACTTGAGCCGTTTACACACCTTTATCACAGTGTTTTCAAAAGCAGTTTTGATATTGTGAAAAATCGAAAATTTTTGGACCACTTGGAAGTGAGTTACAATTTATGGTAGTCAGTGCTTTGTCTTTGCTGGGATTTGGTGGTTTAATTCGTCAACTATTTAGGCTTGCTTGTCGTCCGGTCGTTATAGAGACTACCTTTCACTGGCTATAGCAACTGCAGAGAAAGCTCTGAGAAAGCAATCTCTGAAGGAGGTGGTAGTTCATTGAAAGATTTCCTTTAAAGCATTGAGCTATGTTTTTATTTTGAGGATACTCGGTGGGCATCCGTTATTGTTCGCGCAAGACGAATACGTAGGGGTTTGGATCGTGGCGCTGTCCCATTTGTTACTAGTCGTGGAGCTGTGCTCGAAGCTGCTGAAGATGGACACTGGCTTCTTATTGATGAAGTATGACACTTTCCATATCCATCCGCTACCAGCCAAGTGTTCTTTGGCTGGTTAGAAAGATTTTTGTAAAAAAGAAATCTCAGAGGAGTGAAAATTAAAAATATAAAAGTGGGTCATGAATGTTGTAGAATGCTGGTCGAGTCAGTTTTCCTTGAAATCTTGGAGATAGCTGGACTAAGGCGTTATCCACACCGATTGCAGGAGAGCGTCGGGGCGGGTATAGAACTAGTGCTTTTACTTTCTGATCGACAGCACTAACCACTGCGCTCTCCCACGCACCCACCAAATACAATGTGGTAGTTAAAAAGTGCATAATGTAAAGAATTAAAAGGTGTACCACAACTTTTGGTTTATTTCCTGTCACTGTACTCATTTTCTTGGGTTTCAGATCAACTTGGCACCTCCAGAAAGCCTTGATGCTATTGTGCACACTATTTCAAGGAATGTACATCCAAATTTTCGACTTTTCGCGTGTATGAATCCTTGTACTGACGTTGGTAAAAGAAGGCTTCCTACAAGCGTTCGAACTCGGTGATTACATAACATTTTATCCTTCTGAATTCAAAATTCAGCATGTTATACCTTTTTATTTTCTGCCTATTATAATTTCGCGGCAGGGTACTAAGCGAAATACAACCACAACGTTGCTGAGATATTTGCAAAACTGCAAAACATTTCAACTATAGCCGTAGCTTAACTGGGTTCTATGCCGATTTGGCGCCCCAGATCAATCCCGCTGACGGGTGACTGCTGTGGCAAAGATCAATAGAAATAGCTAAGAGACAAGCGAAACGAAGGACCCGCATGGTGTGGTGGTGAACGCGTTACTCCCCGGAAAGGACAATAGCGCGTTCGTTCCCCACCATAGACACCTGCGGTCCAGAGTTTTGCATATTTCTCAAAATTCAGCTTTGAGAATTCGATTGTATTTCATTTTTATTATTACATTTTTTCGTTTCCGCGGTTATTATGGATCCTTTTTCATTACATCCAACTGTCATTATTTCATCCTTTACATCTTTTCTGTTGACAATGGGTGACTAAGCCGTTCGAGCTTATTTTTTCACAACATACAATTTCAGGTTCACTGAATTTTATGTGGGTGAAATGAGTGATGCTCATCAGTTAGCTGTTGTAGTTTCCGCTTATCTTCCATCAATGAAACCCACCTTAGTAACGAAGCTTGTGAATTTTTATCTTGAGGCAAAACAACTTTATCCAACCATTTATAGGTGATTTTTCTATAAAAGGTTTTTGTAGTTTGCGTCTATCATTTATATCCCATTTTAGCTTGCGTACTTTTTGTCGTGCACTGTTATTCACAGCCCAAAATATGTTTGGGAACGAAGAACGATCATTGTATGAAGCGGTACACGATATGTTCCACACTTTTTTCTTTTTTTTCGGGAAATTCCCCTTGTTCACTTTTATAATGGCAGGTTGCTATGGCGTTTCTCACCAATCTCGATGCTGAAGAGAAGGAAAAGGTTCATGCGAAAATCGCACACACTTTTCATGTAGCAACACACATACCAATGGTTCTTCCACATGGGAAAGGTTCCGACTATATTTCGGTTAGTTTATTTTTAAATAATAATTTTGAAATATACTTATGTACTTCGATACGTGGATGACCCATCTTTACTGGTTGTGCGGGTTCCAGCCTAATTTCCATATTTTCGGAATTTTGCTGGTTTAGCCATTGTGTTTCCCTGAAGTCCCGAGGTCAGCCTGGCCAAAGTCTGCCCCAAGTGTTCACCAGCAAAGGCAGTCGCCGCCCTTGCGGATCAGAGGTAGAATTGCCGCCATGCGACTAGCTTGATACCAGGATGGTGGTGGATCCTGTTGTTGGTGTACTCTTAGCTGGGCTTCCTGATGGAAACGCCGTACTCGTCAGCTTCGGAGACCCTGTTGGTGGGATGGACCTCTGCTGTACATCACAGCCTGACACACCGGAACACCTCCCAGCCGCGATGAGACGGTAAGCCGTTTGGAGGATTTTGAGATGTACTCGTGATTAAGCATACACTTTACTTGGTGTCAACGTTTAGTGCTTAATGTTGTTTTATATGTAGAATAATCTGTTTTATTCTATTGCACCTACTTCTTAAGGTTAAATGGTTGCTGTATTTTTTTTCCACACTGTTGTACATTTTTTAGGTGGAGGGATACTGGATAGAGCGTGGCACTGAATTACCTAGCTCCGATGGAAGTTACGTTCTCACAAAGACAGTGAAAAGCAATCTTGCTGAAATTGCTCGAATTACATCTAGTGGAAGGTTTGCAAATTTTTCGCTCGTTAATTTAACTAGGGCAACTTTTTATTCCAGATTTCCTATCCTACTGGAAGGAGAAACGAGTGTTGGAAAGACGTCAATTATCTGTCACTTTGCTCGGATGACTGGAAATGTGCTCACTCGTATTAACAACCATGAATATACTGATATACAAGAGTGCGTTATATTGAAGCATTAATTAATTATCCTCAAATGGTACTTATCAGTGGTGTTCTAGGTACATAGGGTCATATGTTGGAGATATGCAGGGCCGTTTGATATTTCGAGAAGGTGCATTGGTGAAAGCGGTGAGAAACGGTGGATGGGTGATTCTTGACGAACTGAATCTTGCTCCTAGCGATGTCATCGAGGCTTTGAACAGGGTAATTGGAGATTTCGTTTACAGTAATGTAGTTTTTCTTAAGTTTTCGTTGATATACAAAGCTGGGGTTTCTTTATCCAATCAAGTGAAATTCAGAACTATCTCTTAATAGTTGACTAATCCAATAAATAATTTCCTTTCAGCTTCTTGACGATAATCAGGAGCTATTTATTCCGGAACTGAACACCGTTATTCAAGCACATCCACGGTTTCGTCTTTTTGCCACTCAAAACCCAGCAGGATGCTATGGTGGTCGAAAACGTCTTTCGCGTGCCCTCATGTCTCGTTTTGTTGTGCTCCGTTTCAGTCAACTGCCAATGGAAGAACTAGCATCAATGGTATTTCCTGGAAGAAAAGTGGTAAGAGTTACGTTATCCATCTGTTGCTCCCCAACATTTGAGGTTTGCGCACGTTCTGGCGTTCACAAATCTGCCGCTACAAAAATGATTAATGTGCTCTCCAAACTTCGTTTGAAACGCTCTGTCAGTGGTGTTTTCTCGGCTACAGATAGTAAGTGACTTTATGTTATTAGTTTTAGATGGTTGCTAGTAATTGTTCTGTTTTCTTTGCAACTGTTATTATCTATATTCATCGTTGTAGTTTTTCTACGTAATGACGTTTTTTCTTTTTCTTTGCATTCAAGGCCTAATGACACTTCGTGATGTTTTTCGATGGGCAAAACGACTTGTCACGGATTCGACAAGTGATGATTGGCTCCAGGTTCTCCCACATCAGGTTCTTTTGCAAAAGTCCAATATTAAATGTAGCTCTTACAGATTCTTGCAAACCATGGCTACTTTTTACTCGCTGGACGTTGTCGCAACCAGAGAGATATCCATTCTGTGGTCGAAACGCTACAAAATGAATTGGGAAGAAATATAGAGGTTAGTGTTTGCTTTTCTACAGTGCATGCTGCCAAGAATTGTCGTTTATCTTCACTTTTTACTATTTTGCACACATTAAGCGAATTAATTCGGCATTTAATTGGCATTGTTTCAGCCAATAAAATTATTTGCGATGGATTCGCCTTATATGCCCAAAGATATAGACACCGAAGGTATAATTATGACGATGAGTATGAGAAGAATGTTAGTAATGACCGAACAGGTAACCAAATAGAATTAATGGTGATCCTGTTTTGTGGTGGCTGTACCAGCAAACTCTTAATATTAATTTTCAGGCGTGGCTTCGTAACGAGGCCGTACTTATGGTTGGTGAAACTGGTGGCGGTAAGACCACTCTTGCTCATTTGATGGGAAGAGGAAATTTGAGCACGATTAATTGTCATGAAAGAACTGAGACTGCGGATTTATTGGGAAGATTACGTCCAAGAGAAGATGGAGGGTATGGTTAAGCTCTCACCATTAAAAGCCTCGTTTTCCTTGTTCTTTGATGTATTCCATTTCAATCGTACCATTATCTATTCAATTTATCTATCATACTTCATACTGTTTATATGCACTACTTACCCCACAGATTCGCATGGTCGGACGGAGTTGTGGTTTCTGCAATGAAAGCTGGTGTGCCGTTATTAGTCGATGAAATTTCGCTGGCTGAAGATTCTGTTCTGGAACGCTTAAATCCGTTATTCGAGGAAGTAGGCGCTTGATAAAATGTTTTTCACAGTTTCTAACTTAGAAAAAGTAACTGATTTCATAATAAATGTACTGTTTTTCATAGGCGATTTCTTTAAGGAAAGAACATTACTTCTGTCTGACGCCGGAGTTGAAGTTCATTCAGTTTCCGCTCGTGATAGCTTTCAAATAATTGCAACCATGAATCCAGGAGGAGATTATGGAAAGAAAGAGGTATCTTTAAAGTACAAGAAATCTTGTGTCTCAATAGCTAGTTCATGGTTTGTTTAGTTATCGAAAGCACTTCGAAATCGCTTTACCGAAATATGGTCCTGTTGTGACTTCGAAGAATGCGAATTGGTTAAAATATTTGAGTCAAGACTCAACTCCACTCTTGAAGAATCTCTTGGCCCTCCTCAAGAGTCCCCGGCAGAACTAGTTGTTAACTGGATAGCGAAGTTTTCTAAAAAATACTTGCACGTGTTTAGGTGAGTGGTCATTTTTTAGGTTGTTGGCAAATATGATTTAACGTTGTGTTGCCATTCAGGCATTCACCTTCTGTTCGCGACGTTATTGCTTGTGCAGAAATATACTCGGCTTGTGTAGCTAATCGATTTCTTCGAACAACAGCCATTTTTGAAGCGGTTTCCGCTGTGTTTCTTGATGCCCTTAACATGCAAAAGCTGCGAATGACGATGGATATCAGGGAAATACGTAGGGATGCGGAAGATATGGTACTGTAGTTCGTCCAAAGTCGAGTTTAAAAACGACTGTTAAAGATTTCTCTCTGTATGAAGTTTTCCGACCCTATTTTTTTCTCATGAGTAGGCCATTATGTAATTTTCTGAATGGCGATCTCTTAATCTTAACTCTTTTATTTACTGCCTTTTTCTTCTTAATGGCAGGGTATGTTGTGAAATATAACTCGTATGAAGTGCCGAGATATTTGCAAAACTCCGGACCACAGGTGTATGCAGTGGGGAACGAACACGCGCTGTTGTCCTTACTGGGGAGCATCGCACTTCACCACTACACCATCCGGGTCCTTCGCTTTGCATGTATCTCAGCTAGTTCTATCGATCTTTTTGCCATCAGCAATCACCCGTCAACGGGATACATGGGAAGTGCGCTGCTCCCCGGTAAGGACAACAGCGCGTGTTCGTTCTCCACTGCATACACCTGTGGTCCGGAGTTTTGCAAATATCTCAGCACTTCATACGGGCGATCTCTTATTTCTGACTTCTTAGTTCTTCAGTGTGAAAAATCTTAAACTTCGTAGTGCGTATAGTTGCATTTGCAATTATGAGTTTTAAGCTCATAGGATTCCTCAAGGGATCATTTTTAGTGACGGTATAGGGAAATAAACCACAATCAGGAAGTAATCTAAGCATACATTTGTTGGAATTGCAGCACTTTACAGGCCACTTATGTAGACGACAAAGTTTTTGCTTCAAATTAAATTTTGGTTTTTCAGTTAGGCCAGCTTTCATCTGACGTCATTGTAAGATCCCCTATTCCATCGGAAATACTCGTCGCGTCCGACTGTATAAAGATTGGAGCCTTTTCTGTTTCATTTGGGTCTCTCGATCGAGCTGTACCTAAGGGATTTTCACTTCGAGCACCCACATGTGTCTCAAATTTCTACCGAATTGCGAGGTACATTCTGGCTTTATTTGATTCATTGCTCGAATTGGGATAGAATCGGTAGTTCCAATTTACCGAACTAACGCGATAGTCAAGACAAGAATGAAAGCTCGCGGAAATCAATGATATACTCGTTTTCTTTATTAGTGTGGAATTTTCCTGTATTTATGTAGGGCTCTGCTAATCAACAAGCCAATTCTGTTAGAAGGTGCTCCAGGATGTGGAAAATCGAGCACAGTAATGGCTCTTGCTACGTTGACCGGCCATCCTATTACTAGGTTAAATTTATCGGACCAGACGGTTAGTACTTTGCACCACTCAATGTTAGGTCGCGAGTTCTAAAGGGTATACTTCTATTACAGGATCTTTCCGATCTTTTTGGAAGCGATGTACCCATAATCTGTGAGGATGATAGTATCTCATTCCAGTGGGTAGATGGTCCAATTTTGAGCGCCATTAAACGTGGCGAATGGGTGCTACTCGACGAGGTCTTTATTGAAATTCTTTGTTTACAAAACTTCGTTATGGGATGTTCAAGAGTCTTAACTGTTTGATCTGTTCTGAAAAAAAGATCTGTTTTAAGATGAATCTAGCGCCTCAAGCAGTACTGGAAGGATTAAATGCTTGTTTCGATCATCGGCGAATGCTCTACGTGGCAGAACTGAATCGTTCATTTGAAATTCCACCTGGTAGTAACTGTCGCTTCTTTGCATGTCAAAATCCTCACGCACAAGGTGGAAATAGACGAGCGTTGCCAAAGTCTTTTGTCAACCGTTTCACCAGCGTAAGTGTTATTGTTTGCACTTTTCAGTGATTGTCCAATCCGATTTTCTTGAAGAAGTCAGCGTAAATACTTCAAAAATTTTATGAATTTGACGCTGGATGAAGGATAAAACAATAAACGTTGACGATGGAAAGTACTCGTTAAGATTGAGATGGTTTATGAATATCTTGAATTCGTAAGCTAACTCTCTAGATGAGGTATAAAGGGAAATTCTAATACATTGCTCAATCTCATTAAGTATCCAACGACTTCATCAAGGCAAATTGGTTAACGCTAAACGTACGAAGCTACTTTTTCAATAACTGGGAATAATTTCTCGATCATCAGAAGATTTAAGGTGTTAAGGAAATCATGGGGTGTGTGGCGCAATGGTCGGAGGCGCCCTGGGATACACATGGGATCGATTCCCGTACTCGTGGTTCACCAAGCCTTCCATCCCTCCAGAGTCGGCAAATTGGTAACAGACTTGTCTGGGAGTATAGCAGCAGTGGCTCGCTACATCTATAGGCCATCGCGAGTCATTGTAACGGACAAATATGCATTCAATAACCTCAAACGATGCTTAATGAAGTCGACGCATGGCGCATCCCTCAGGGAATTGATCATCACCGAGGACTTTATCCTTTGTTTTTATTCTGATGAAATCATGGATCTATAGAGGAAACTTTGTTTTATCGCACTAATAGCACGTGTGATTTCTATGCATTGTTATTTAAACTTTAGATGTCTCAAAAACTCAAAAATTTTGAGACGAAATTGAAAATTTTAAAATTCACAACGCAAAAGCAGTGAATGGAAACAACGTTACATTAGAAACCCCACCGTGTCTTCCTGTGCGAGGGTTGATTTGTTCAGCTCCTTTTGTTTCCGAAATATCGCGTTTAACATAAAGGAGTGGAAAGAGCGTGTTTCATGTGCTTTAGGAATTTAGAATTTCGAAGAATATTGTAGAATGAAACAACATCAATCCTTCTAGAGAAATTTCTCTAGATTCTGACCACTTTCAAACGATGCATAATAAAGTTTGATATGAGATATGTTAGTTCAAAGTGGGAAATAGCCATTTACTTAATGCGTCGTGTGCATTATTTGTCAGTATATCGAATTCGGCGTGAGCTGATTCTGTCCACGCATTGGTGAAGGAGAATGTATGGATTGAGCGCTGACATGAATTCTTATCCACTGGTTTTCTTACCAATGGTTTGTTTTGCTGCTGGATTTTTTGTTGCCTGAAAAACCGTTTTTTTTTTCTTGCTGTAGTTTTATATTCGCTCAGTAACTTATCCAACAAGCGGGTTGAAATGCTATTCTCTAGGCGTAGTAGTATACAAAAAATCATTCCCGTACTAGTTTATTCGCGTGAAAATTATCGGGCATCGCAGAGTAGCTTATTAAAATGTCTGTGCGTTCCACTTAGTTCTAGCGCCTTTTTTTAACTACCTTTTTACGCATTGTACCGAAAGAATATCACAAAGACTATTCGCTAAGGTGAAAGGTCTCTATGATTTCACATACATCAGGTTGGACGACGTAGGTCTATTTCAATTCATTGTATTGGGGAAAACGTTCGAGGTAATACACGCCAAGAAATTGGGTGTCGGACTTTAAGTGTTGAGAAAGCCATTGCCTTATTCGTTGATTATGCATATTTTACATGTGACTTAAATATATCGACTGGAAGGCTTGATCCCACTGAGGTGGAGTTCGATTAATCTGCCGTATTCTCAAGTGCATTTCTCGCTACGTGTGCTCACGCATGAGTTTAATTTTCTTTTTTTTTCGATCGAGCCATCAAGTTTTCGAAACCGGACTATAAAATGAGGAAAGCTTGTTACTGGTTCGATCCAGGATTTGTAAACATCCGGAATTTGAGGCGCTCATGGAAGTGTAGAGAAATAAATTTAGCCCCCATTAGTTAGCAAAGGAAGAGTAAATGTATTGGTAGAGCTATGAATAGCAAAGGAAGAGTAAATGAGACCGAATAGCAAAGGAAGAGTAAATGTATTGGTAGAGTTATGAATAACGTTTCGACTAAAAATAAAGAACAAAGATCGCTTCTTTATGCATTTTTGTCAGCGGCTACACAGGCTTGCTACGGCATAGGTAGCCTTATTTTTAGCCAAGGTTAGTTTTTAGCTTCTGGTTGGAAATATTGAAATTTCTACAGGAGTTTGTTACTGTGAATGGGTCACAGATCGTAGGTCACAGGAGTGCGACATTTTCAAACTGCTATCGTACGTGAGATTTTGAGGTTTTTCCTAATACAATCACAACGGTGCTGAGATACTCACAAAACCTATACTCCGGGCAGGACCGAACCATGATTACCCTTTCGAGGGGTTCATGCATTACCTACAGCACCGCGGAGGCAGCAGATAAAAGGTTAACATTTTTCCCAATGTTGTAAGATCAAGTGTTTTCATGCATTAGGATGTTACAATGTGCGATAGCGTATGCGAATTAGTACATATGCCAATCTGCAGAGCTGAGCTGTACTTCCATGACCTCCGTAAGGCGTCATGTTTTTAATTGATACCTGTAAAATAGTTTTCACCTGAAATTGGTTAATTAGGTTGCGTTTGTGCATTGTTAAAATCAATGCTGTTAAAGTATTTCATACTTGGTAGACGTTTTCTATTTAGAGACATCTTAAATCATTTCGCAAAACTTACCGTGTCGTTATTTCAGATCTACATTGAGGACTTACTGGACGAGGATATCCTAGTTATTTTACATGAATTGCCAGCCGCTGTGGAAATTGGTCGCGATAACCTAAAAGCAATGATTTCCATTACTGCTGAACTTTCTGCTGATCAAAGTCTAATTGGCGGTCCTTTCTCCTTCAATCTTCGCGATTTATTACGCTGGGTACAACTCTTCGAAAAGGTTTTCCGGATCTTTAACCCATTTTGATGGCTAAGATCCAAATTTTCTTTTTTTCAGTTTAAAGATATGCAAGTATGTTTTCAAGTATTATTCTTAAACAGAATGCGGAGAGAGGAAGATTGCAAGAGGGTTCGTTAGAATTTTTTTTCATGCACTACACTCTTAGCTATCCGGTTTTAATTCTGGAGTCTTTATGTCATTAATGGTTTTTTCGTTATTCCAGCTAAGAGATTTGTATTCGAAGTTCTTTGGTGAACCATGTGTTACTCCTCCTCTTACTCTTTCCGCTGATGACAAGGAAGTTCGTCTAGGGAAGGTGAGTACTGTGGGGGAGAACTTGTTATATAAGAGCATTTGAAACTTATACCTTCTCGATGGGTTTATGTCGTGTCTGTAATTGTTAGTTTTGTTTTTAAACGTTTTGTTGGTTCTTTCGTTTTACTTTTCCTTTAATGACTGTCTTACTTTTATCAATTCATATCACCAGGAAAACATAAGTAAAACATTGAGTTACGTGGATTAGAACCACGTGGTTTTTTATTTGAATAAGTTCTGTCTAGGTATGCCTTCCCCGCACTGGTAGAAAATATGAGCTCTTCAACTCTTCCCATCGACTTCTATCCAGCCAATTTGCACTTATGCACCAATTGGCTGTTTGTGTTGATATGCAGTGGATGGCACTGATAATAGGACCTAGGTGAGTATTGAATGACATTGAAAATTTTTAATAGAACATTTTTGAGTGTAGGTGGTGTACGCCTATGACTCTAGCAACTGTAACGGGTTAGCCTTGACGATGTGGAATTACGAATCCTTTATTAATCTAAAGCTGTTAATGGTTATTTGGTCTTGTTTAGATAACATGGTCCGTTATTTACTTTAATGCAGTCTTTTCTCGCTTTCTTCCTATTTCTAACTGCTAATATACGGCTATTATTATTTGCTTGCTTTTATTTACAACAGCATAGCTCTCTTTTTTCTATGCAATCTTTTTTTCTGAAGAAATTCTGGAAAGCGGTCGACACTGCAAAATCTAGCGGACATCTGTGGTGTTCAACTCCAAACAATTGTTCTGAATTCCGAGACAGATGCTCAAGAACTTATAGGGTCGTATGAGCAGGTTCGTAATAAACATTTGAACGGTATTTAACACGAAAGGCTCGATACGAAATGATTAGGACGTATGTCAGGCCGAGTCTCAGTTTGTAGTAAAATTCAATATTTGACTTAAACACAGTTGCGAGCAGTACGTATTTGCCGAAACGGTACAGCCTTCTTTATTCTACAAGCGTCCATCATCCAGTTGGACATAATGGTGTTGCCCAACGTGCTGCGTTTGCGTGAAAAAGTTGTAAAATTTATTTTTCTTCTGAAAATTTAGGTTCTAGAAAAATCTGGAGTTAAAATAACTTTGTAATAGAATAGCCCCTATATACTATATACTTATACATTGTACATTACACATTCTTGCCAACGGTTTACCGCCTCATCATGGCTGGGAGGTGTTTCTGGGTGTCGTGCTGCGATGTACAGCGGAGGGATTCCCCCCCCCCCCCCCCCCCCCCCCCCCCCCCCCCCCCCCCNGGGGGGGGCCCCCCCCCCCCCCCCCCCCCACTTACCCACCCACCAAGGCCTCCCAAGCTGGGAAGGAGTCCGGAGTTTCCACCATGAAGCCTAACTAGGAGCAAACGAATACCAGGATCCACCACCATCCTGGTGTCAAGCTATTGGCATGGTGGCAAATCATCCTCTGATCCGCAAGGGCGGCGACTGCCTGTGGTGGTGGTGAATACTTGGGGCTAGGTTGATCTCGGAACCCCAAGGAACCACATTAGCTAAACTAGCAAAATTCGCAAAAAATTGAGGTTATGCTATGGCCTGCACAACCAGTGAGGACGGGTCGTCCATGTATCCCAGTAAGTATACATTATACATTATTTTGTATATATTTTATACACACATTATTTTGTACACACTGATATTTATGCTTATACATGTTTTAACTTTCAAAACTGGGGGAACATAACAAAAAAAGGAAAAAAATTTAAAGGTGTGTGTGCGTGGTGTAAGAGCGATCGGGCAAGGCTTCGAGTATAGGTCTGTTAAGTTTCCTCAAGTACTTATTGAGAAATACGAAGGGACCACCAAAAAATAATCGTCATCCCGCACATCCACTGATGAGTAGTGATAATTAGGTCGCGTTAAATAATCAGTTTTAAAACGTCTTATTCTTCAGTCGATCGACGATTATGTCATTAATGATGCGAAACAGAACCTATACGAAATTCTGAGTGCTCATGTCGAGGAAGCAGCACTGAAAGGAATACTCAATGCGGAAGATCTGACACAACTTGAGACAATCACTGAAATTGTCCTCTCTAATATCAACGACAACAACGATGTAGTTGATGAGTGTCGCGTAGTACTGGCACGTTCTACTCGGTCGTCGATGCGCTTCGAATGGGTTGATAGTCCTTTCGTACGCGCGTATTTAAATGGTCATTGGTTGCTGATTGAAGATGTGAACCTGTGCAGGTGAGTTGTATTGTTTCCTTAAATTTCACCCATGTAAGGAAGGCATATTAATTATCTAAGTGTAATTGATAAATGTATCAAACAAGAGTAGTTGATTTTGCCATTTCTTCCAAGTATTTGCGAATTGCTGCTAACAATCTCGAAGATTTCTCCTGAAAACACCATTCTCTGAATTATCAACTCGAAACCTATAACCATTTTTTCTTAACTTTTCCACTTTTTCATCTTATAGATATACGTTTTCAGTGCTGCGGTTTTGGATCGTTTAAATAGCTGTCTCGAAAATGACGGCCGTCTGGTGGTATTTGAACGTCATTCCTCATTTAAACCTTTGGAACCACATCCAAATTTTAGGTACGCTTTTTAAAAAATGGTCTAGTTTCCTAAAAAGGAAAGGCCGGAAACAAAGGACTTCAAGTCCTTTATTTAAGCATAAGAATATTAAGCGTCTGGTTGTAATCTATCCACTAAGGGTGTAGCATCCATTCGGCTCCACTAGGCATTGCAGAGGTTTTCGAATGCAAATTTGGCCTATACAGTGGTGACGCCTGCCGTTATACTACCTATATATCAAGCCGGTGCTTTTATCCTCACTGATAAGTCTGCTGCCAATATACCGTTCCAGAAGGAATAGGGCTAAGAAAGCCTGTGTCGCGGGCTCAAGCGAACTACCACATGTGTGTTACAAAAGTAGCTGGCATGTTTTTTACGGAGAAAAGGTTCTCTAAAAAGTTTAGAACATAGTTAAAGTGCATTATGAATATTGCAACGGTGCGTTGGTCTTAATAATCCAAATTAAGAAATATTTCGCTTGTAATTTTGCTTTTGTATAAGCGATTTTTCACTTGAGACCAAGCAATAGACGAACAGTGAACTAGTAATGTTAGTTAACTGATTATTCTCAGACGACTGTTTAGAGTTTTTCTTTCGATGGACGCTAAGAATGGAGAGATCTCTCGTGCCATGCGAAATCGTAGTGTGGAGATATTTATTACGACTGAGCGACAGTGGAGTTCTAGTCCACTGGATGTGGCCGCTGTAACACTTAGTCGTGACATGAATATTTCTTCGAAGGTAGGTTTTTTTAGTGTTTACTTATTTGGGCGCTTGAACGACGGGTTTTCACAAATACTACTAGCCCACTTTCTATTCGTTTCTTTCATTCGTGATAGTCCATGGTGGTTGGTGGTCGGCTTAGAGTATGGTGGTGATTCCGCAGTATGCAAAGTACCGTTTCATTTGTCAATACAACCAGTAGATGTTGGTTAGAAACATATCCGTCTATCTTATAAGTGGTTATCTTAGAAGGCACTAGCATGTTTTTTTTCTTTTATTCTGTTGTTCTTTTCGTCCATTTATCTTCGACTCTTCTTCTTCTATGATCGGCTAATTTATTTTTTGTTTTTGAAGTGTATCTTGCTTGACGAAAAAATATAGTTGAGGTCTTAAAGACCGAATTTTATTTAACCTCGACATGGATGATCAGTGTTGCCTCTGATTATTAAGCTAATACGAGGTTGTTACAAAACTTTTATTTGGCGGACGTTTCGACGCTTTCGCTCTCTTCAGAGTCTCGATAATCCGAGTCGATACGAGCAACAGTCACTTGTCATCACATCTTGGATCTTTGTAGATTTATCGTATCGAATCTTCTGGAGTGGTGCATTGCTCCAATGGAGTTTCCTCACTCTCCAGGTCTTTTAAAGATGACTGTTGTTGATCTATTACCATCTGTTTTGAACTGCTTTCATGGAAGCAATACATCCTACAGCAGTTGATGTATCATTAAGTAGCACATAGCGTAGCAGGGATGCTTCATTCGAACAGTACCGAATCTGAACGATGGCCAGCTTACAAATCAAGCCAAATTTCGCAAGAGTTACTGAGGTTTCTAAAGTTTTTAGCGCCACCACACACAGGGCACGGAAACAATGTCTTCTGAAAACAAGTCGGCGCAGTGAACAACGAGCTTCTTTTCGTAGCCTGTATCCGCGAAGAACATTATATTATCTGGAATACTTTAGTGTACTACTCTGTATTCAATTAGTATCGGACTTGTAGGAGAAACCACTCTGCAATCCAATTGGGAACGGTGCAACCCGGCTATCTTAGGTCTCCAGGGAGAATCGACGTGTACATCATTCTACGACATTCAAGATGAAATTAAAAATCCTCAAGCAGCAGCCGAAGCTATATGTAAAAGTTGGAAGAGCTTCGTGGGTAATGGATGCGAGAGAACGAATCGAATGTGAGGAGTGCTGCAATCCGCATGGTAGACGTGAAGACGGGTCGTATAAAATAAAGAAAAAATTTTTCATTTTACCGTTTCATTTGACTAATTGCAGAAAGCAAAAGCTTTGTGTTCTCTTTCCGTCGAAAAACAACTTCATTTCTCCATTCTGCTAAGTGAAATGTCGATAGAGCACGCATGTAGGACTGTGGGACTACGAAGTTTAGATGACGAGGATGGCGACGCAACGTTTGTAATACCTCCACTGGTGAAAGAAATTGCGACGGAACGGTACGTAGTGGTCGTTTTTTTTTTGTGCTCGAGCTTCTTTTTGTGCTGTAATAAAATTAGTATTCTAGTTTTGATTTGTGGTTGCTGAATGCGTGGAAGAATTGTGCTTCTAATTACTCCACTCTATTTTTATCACTCTTGTCGACATCGACTAGAGTTCTTAGAGGAGCATATTTTCAACAGATATTTGGAGATATCGGTAAGTTCGTATTGTGAAGACAACTCAAATGTTGTCAAGTCTGTTAAACTCAACATTTCTAATCACTTCTGAACTGAGAGTAGATTGATTTTATAAATATTAGTTTTTCAAGCAATAACAGTTCTTTGATTTTTTACTGTTTTTTTTATTTCAATTTAAAGGAAACTCGCAAGTCTCAAACATGTCTTTGTTTGTGAACTTTTAAAAGATGATGGTTTAGAGGGCTTCCGTAGATCATAGGAGTGCAGTTCTATTTCAAGAGATATGTGTTCGAACGTTAAATGATTGTTTCAGCTCTATCTACTGTCTCTCGTTTACGCGAACTAACAAAATCACTGGACTATTCCCACCACTCTATCGATGCTCGTTTTCACAATTGTTCTTTGAATGAGGACATTGATGTGATACAGAGGTATAGTTTTCTAAAGTCAGTTACGCAAGTTTAATAGAAACATTATATTATTAAGATTTGTCGTAACCACTGTTTGCGAATGGTTCAGCGCTCTTATTGGGAACTTTTCAGTGGAAACAGGTTCAGCGGAGTATCTGAGTCGTACTGTATCGAAATGTGGGTACTTCGTTTGTTTGTCAATCCCTGCGGAATTACTGTTATGCTGGAACATTTGCAAAACTTAGACCCCAGGCAAGATTCGAACCCTCGGTTAACCTTTCCAGGGGCTCGCGTGTTACTGCACCACTGAGGCCCTTGCTCTCCCTTCCTCTCAGCCAATTTTTTCCCTGAACTTTCCCATCAGCAATCACCAGTGATCCAGGGAGCACAAATTGGCGTTGAACCCAGTTAAGATGAGGCTGTAGTTAAAATCACAACATATAATTTTTATTTACTGCCTATTTTTTTCGAGACAGGGTATGATGTGAAGTACAACCACTATGATGTTGGTATATGCAGAACTTGTACCACAGACCAAATTCATATCCATGAAAAGAGTAATAGGCAGTAAATAAAGGCTTGAATATTGTGATTTTGAGTACAACCTCGGCTTAACTGAGTTTAACGTCTATTTGTGCTCCCCGGATCGCTTCCATTGACGGGTGATTGCTGAAGGCACCGCTAAGGTAAAAAATGGTTGACAGAATGGCAAAGCGAGGGCTTCGGTGGTGCAGTGGGTAACACGTGAGCTTTTGGAAAGGGTAATCTCAATCTGATTCGAATCTCGCCTGAGGTTCAAGTTTTGCAGATATCTCAGCAGCATAGTGGTTGTACTCATGAGTACTGTACACATCGTACTCTGCAGTGAAAAAGCAATGTTAAACAGTAAATAAAAACTTAAATGTTATGCAGAATTAATCAATTAATGCATTTTTTTAAACAAATTTTTCAGACGAGGAATCAAATGTGGATGTTGGTCTCAAGAATCTACAACTCATTTCTAAAATTGTAGATGCTATAATGAAAACGTTAAACGACACATCAGAATTGGACGATGAACGAACGGTTTTTTTAAATATATAAATGTCACATAACCATTGAATTTGACTAGCTTTTTTTTTAAAGATCTTCTCCTTCTGTTTACGTCTCGCTCTTTTTGTCATTGCTTCGAGACGAAGATTAAATGCTAGAACTTCATATGCACCGCTGTATCATGCTTGGGCTGAAATACATCAACTTGTTCGTATCAACGGGTTAGTTTAATAATTTGTTGAGCCCATAGAAGACCCCACAAAAAATAAATGACGTTTTGGATAACTTGCCAAAAATTACTACGCACAATGAGGCTGTTATGATATTCGGGTTTTTGCGTTTTTTAAGGTAAATTTACGTGTTTAGAATTGATAGTTAGGTGGTCTATGTTAACATATCGTGTGGGTGTTAGCACTTCTATCGTTCATTTCGCTATGTTCTAATCGTCATCCCTGGAGACAACTGGATTCAGCAGAGTATATCGAGCTACCTTTTTGACATTTCACTTTTGATTCTAGATGTGCATGGAGATGGATTAAGTTTGCAGTGAACACGTTGGCTCATTTTTTGAAGATCACGCTTAAGTTCGTTTTCTTTCCGGGGCCACTGTTTTTGTCGCCTACCTGTCGTCTCGAGTTGTCATTGTGTTGTAAACCTATCGTTGTCTACTTTTCAAGGCATATTTCTCACGCTCCCTAAGACGGGATATTCTTTGAAACTGACGCTTCTGAAACTTGGAAGGGATATGAAAGTGCTAATGAGACGTCTATGGCTTTCGAAAGTGTTTTAGTTTAGTACACACAGCTAGACTCATTGCGAAGTACAACTTGCTCTAAAAACTCGTCTTAGTCCAGATTCTCTAAGATCTTCGTCGGAATGATCTTCGTGAAAAGCATGTTAAGCAGGTACGCAAGGGAGGAAGGTTTGTTGGCCGGTAGTTGCAAATTTTGCCCTTGTTGCCCTTTTCGTGCTAAAGCGCTACGTCCCCTCCAAATGTTCTATGAGGGCCGGTTTTGCAAGTATGAGGATAAATGGGTTGAGAAACTGAAGGAACTGCTCAAGGCCTCAAACTTAAAATTGTGATATGAATGTGTCGTTTTCTTGTTCAGCAATCGCGAGGTTTTTAAACAGCATACATTTACTTCCATAAAAACACAATGCAATACAACGCTAGCTGACGTTTCGGCGGT